GGACAAATGGGGTTGGAAAGACCAACTTGTTGTCCAGCAACTATTATCGGCATTATCATAATAGTATTTCGCATAAGCAACACCAACGGGTATCGTCGTGGATATGCTCCTCCCTTTTCCCCCATGAGGACCGTGGCCGCAACTATTTAGTCCATATAAAAGCCGCTTAAGCGTGTACCAGACAATCAACATTGCTGTCTGACGTCCTTGTTAAAGAGCTACTGCCTCAAGGCCATGACCGTGGCCCCAACTGTCCTAGTTATTAGCAATAGTATGCAGCCACTTAAGCGCGTGGCAGACCGTCAACTCTCTCTCTCTCTCTCGCTCTCGGAACTTCGCCAGTGGCCATTGCTGCCTGGAACGGCAACAGAGAGTGCTATGCACAATATATTCCGCCCAAAAGTTTTTTTTTTTTCAAAAACGCGGCATGTCCTAGTGACTGACGTGCTGCGAGTACAGAGCACTTCACGTATGATGACTCTCGAGTTAACTTTGGCTGGACACAGTAAAAACAACCACGACGGAACTCTATGAACTGCTTACGACTGGCAGTACTATTCTGGATCGATGTACCTAACAGATTTTGTCGGTGAACGTGCATTTCCGCTCTCCGTCTCGTCATCCACCGACCATGCTGGGTTTTCCAAATCAGACTCAAGTGTACCTGCTACAAAGTTATCTGACCAAGAAAAAGAAAGACTGCACACAAATAAGGGATCTTAATGGATGCACGTACCTGCTGCCGAAAGTAATATCAAAGTTTTCGATATGTATATCTGTGACCTTTCTGGTAGATGCGTCGGCAGTCTTCCGATCCGGCTGCTGGCTTACACAGGCTGTATCACTCTGCGGATTGGTGGTAGTTCTTTATGGAGGTGGTAGAGAAGTAACTAAATGAAGGGGAACTGCACATGAAGTAACTTACTTTGATAAATCGTTGCTACTGGACTTTTTTGTCATCTTTCCCTTGAGTTTAGCCTCGGCTTTCGCCAATTTCTTCTGGTTAACAGACTGAATAGAGAGATAGAGAGGGGGGAATGAGAATTACGTCAGGACGTGCAAAGGCTGCACACGAAATGAGTGCAATTTTCAACTTTTTAACAGTAAAACAAAAAGGACGCAGATCATCCCTCAAGCACATCGACGTGCAACAGTACCACCGAGCAGCCGTGATGACCAACATGGGATGAAGTGAGACTGAGGCAGTAGTGAGTTCACTACCAATTTTTACACGGTAGATTCCAATGACACGATAAGATCAGGAACACTAGACATGCGTTTGGATACAACAGCTAACCGGAAGAAAAACTTCTTTATACCTGATTCACGACGTGACAGGACTCTTTGCCATGATCTGGTCGGAATCACGAAACGCACTGCCGTTGTGGAGACAAGTAGGCTATCATGTTTTCCGCCAGTTTATCAGTTCATCATCGCTACGTTGAGACCAGGAGTAGGAGTGAAATGTTAAGGTGTTCGATTCAAATGTCAACCCAGTGAAATTGCTGTCCATTTCTGGGCACGCTCTGTGTTGCGCACGGGCAAATAGACAACAGGTGTCCCACGGGGGGAGGGGGCAACCATTGATTGAGAAAGCAGTACTGTAGCGGCTAAGGTAGTAGGTTACTTTGAGTGTGTCAAAATAATCCAACCAACTCAGGATTAGGAGATGAGATAGCCAAATGACGGATTTAAGGTGCACAGAACCGGCAACTGTCGTCTGCAGCGAGAATGA